AACGTGTGTTTCTTGGGAGCTTTATTTCTCTGAACTGTCCACATTTAGTTTGGGTATACTTACTTTTAACATCTTTTGAATCTGGAAAGTCTTTTGAGTGGACACAGCATAAATTATTATGGTACAAACCATCATTGAGGGCAATATTTCATAATACTGTACACATTTACTGAATGTAACCATATGGGTTGTTTTTGACTGCAACACCTACCTATTTGCTTGTGTAACATCAAAACCATGAGGTGTGTTTCTTACAACTGTGGCAGCATTAAACGGCAACATACTGTGCAGAAAACAAGTCTTGCTTTTATGTTTTATTTTTTTATTTTGCACATATAAAAAACATCAAGATACTTTGCACTAAGTAAGCACAATTGTGTAAAATGATATCCATCAATATGACACCAAAATAGCTTTCCAGAATCTTGGTCTTCTTACTTTTGCACTGCAAGATGGGGAAACTGCAAAACAGGAACATATTTTTGTTCAATGCTTTACGATGAAACTTTTTTTAAATTGTTTACTGCTTTGTGAAATTATCAAAATGTACAATACACATTTTCAGTGCAGTTATACAATTGTTTTTAGCCAGATTATTGCTTAAAAAGTAACTGTTGTTGGCCTACCTCCCAGAAAGCCTGATCATCAAAACACTTCTTGTCTTGGGGAGGCCTCCAGAAGTTCCACTTGAGTAGGAGCCCTTAAAACAATAACATATTGAAGTAAAAAACACGTTTAAATGGAAAGTAGACCTGCAACGATTAGTCTACTAATTTATAAATTGATCAGAAAAGTAATCACCAACTTTCTTTGGTATTATTGGTAGTTTTTATGCAAAAATTGTAATACACGTGTTATTTTAGTCTATTAAATGTGGAGATTTAATGCTTTTAAAAAATATATATATTATATTAAAATGAATATAGGGTTTTAAACTGACTTAACAAGACATTTAAACACATCACCTTGGATTTTGAGAAACCAGGATGTGCATTTCCACTATTTTCAGATTTTCTTTTGTTGATTAATCCAGAAAATAATCATTAGTTTCAGTCTTAATGAAAAAATACTGCCAAATAGGGTTTTAAAGATATGTTTTGGGTCACATTTCACTGTTGCTAGCATTCTGTTGTGACTGAATAATTCAAAATGGACCTTCTGTCTTCTTGTATGATTGAGCCAGACTGTTAATAATGGAAGCTACATGAGAGAATACCTACCTGTAATGATTCCCATGCACAGACTTAAAGAGATGGTGATGAGGAGAGAACAAATGTGAAATACAGCAAACCGGATTGCCCTATAGGGAAGAAAAGGACCAGTTAAACAGGTGATACGCCTTTTGACTGTGTATCAATGTGATCAATGTGATCCTTGTGTTCTTACGTTGTGTGATCATCGCAGTCTTTAATCTGTAGCAGGAGATGTGCCAGCCATCCCAGCAGACCAGGCAGTCCGTGTGTGCTCAGGACAGCACAGGTGTCATGGCACTTAAACGCAAGCAGCATGTGGCTCTGAAACATAAGAGTTAATGATGAATCGGAATCAAAATACCTGGAAAAAATGTAGAAAGAAATATGTACAAGTACAATTAAAAGTTAAAATAACAATAAGATGTTAAAATAACAAAAAAGGTAAAGTAAAATGTCCAGTAAAAGATTAAATGAAGAAAAAAGTGGTTATATAAACAAGAAGAGTGAAAGTAAAATGTCTAATAAAATATTAAATACAATTTCAAATAAAAAATAATAAAAAATATTTATATAAACAGGAAGATAAAGTAAAAATGTACATATAATGTGTATATTATCATATGAACAGTGTATTATCAATAAGATATGGCTGAATTGCACTGGTTTGCCTGCTTATGTCCTAGTGCCATGAGTTGTGTTTTATAGATTTTTCGTCCATGTGGTGATCAAAACCTTAAGATATCTGAATCCAATGGTGGATACAACAGCCGCAGTGAATCCGATCGCCATGGCTTCCCATGGCTGATGAACCGCTGGCATGGAAACCCCAATAGAAACACCGCCAGCAAGCATGCAAGACTGCAAATGGATCTGAGAGAGAAGTGAGGATGTGTGGCTGTTATTAATTAGAACTATTCGAATTAGAGTGCTATTTGATTATCTAAGTAAAAGTCATTACGCAACATCCGACAACTGTTCCTGAAAGAGCACAACGTTGTGTTATATCAAGTGTAGAGAGTAAGAGTACCGGGTTGAGTTTTCCCTTGGGGCTGGAGAGCGAAGACACAGCAGCTGCTGTCACAGCACTGACTGCCAGGGCCAGGTAGGTGCTGAGCACGGCCCCCAGCCTCCTCCCAGGGGTACGATTATCCACTAGGACGGAGTTAAAACTGGGCCAAAACACACAGAGAAACAAAGTCCCTGTGGAACAGAGGTTATACATTATGCTTTAGCATGGTGGGTGCTTGCTGATTCATTGCTTCAACGTATATCTCTGGTTGAATAGCTTTCCCACTTGTTGCAATTATCCTACTCAACCCTATCCGTCAATAACATAAGGAAAACATCTTACCCAATATGGAGAACAATCCTGTTTTGCGATCAACTTTCTCTTTTTCAAATGGTTGCTCGGATCCTTTCCTGTACAGGATCCGGGTCAGCATGAGCCCAAAGAAGGCCGCGAAAATGTGAAGCAGCATGATGCTGTTCAAAGGCGGGACCTAGAGTTAGAAAACATAATTAGGAATGTTTAAAAGTACTGCATGTGTATAATGTGAACATATTTGGCCAAATGTAAGTTGAAGATGTATAGTGGCTGATACCTTCAGCAGAGTCTGGAGGAGCCATTCATTCAGGACAAACCCTGAGACCTCCAGCAGAGCGATGAGGATCAGATGGACAGGGTTTGTCTTCCCCAGCACGACTCCAATTGAAATGAGGGCAGAGGCTGCACACATCTCCGCAACCACTAAGCTACATTAAAGGAGACACATTTTAGGGTGTGTTCTTGTGTTTTGTTATTCCATTAGAATATATTTACATGCACAAACATTTTAAAAACCATATATTTGTTCAGTGGCTTGCAAATGGCTTAGGCCTTGAGATACTCAGAAAAGGGCCGGAATATTAATGAGCCTGCATGTGACAAAATCAGGGGAGAAAAAACTGTATGGCTTGGTTCAATAAAATGGTTTACAGGTTGTTGGCACTCCTGCCCAGAATGCATGTCCTCTTTTTCCTATGGCTATAGATAGTGTAAGGACAAATGGTTTCTGTAGAGATAATTTGCTCAAACAGATTTGACCTACCTTTTCAAGTCTATCCTGATCTTTCCTCTGTAATACCAGTTCTCAATGCCATTGAGTATGATAGCCCATTGGGTGGCTATGACAGCCACAAGGAGGTTGAACCCAGAGCCACTGAAACCATACCGCACCAGAAAAGTGCACATGTAGCCAAAACCTAGAATCACCATCACATTCACATCCTGGAACTCTGCAAGAGAAAATAATGCCAGATACCTGCATTTAAAATACAATGACTTATTCTGTGTTTCAGCATAGCCCATGTTCCCGCCCCAAGTCTTCTGCTGCTGAAGAACCAGCAACTGTAAAACCTTATCTCTGCCCAACAGTAATAACTGCAGCCCCTCCTTGTTTTCCTAATATTTAACTTAATGCTGCTTTTAAAGAACCTTTAAGAATTAGCTTTAAATATACGTAATTTTCCATTTAATTCACCTTTTAACCCTTGCTATCTCACCCCACCCCCCTTTCAAACTCACCAGGGTACAAATTGCTGAAGGTAATCCCATACACTTTTACATTGCTTTCAATCTCAATGTAAAAGGCATATATGAGAATGAATCCTAGCTGCAGAACAAGCAGCATAGGACCCAAACAGGAGCGCAGACTTGGTGCGTATTGAGGAGCCATTAGGAGAAGATCCCTGCGCACTTCTCCTCCAACTGACGCAAGTGTGGCCCCTGCGCTTTGGACAGGACGCAACCCAGACCCAGGCACATCACTTTGTTTTATCAGATGCTGGGTGGGCAGGATGAACACGTCTTTCTTATTTGGTCATGATATCAAATGTATTTATTCCAACCAAACAGCAACAATGCATTCCCTTAACACACTGCAATACGATTAAGGTCGTGAAAAAAATGCTTTACCTTAATGTCAAATTTCATTTAGTGAAGTCAATATGTTTAATTATATTATATTATAATATTATAATTATTATTTATTATTATTTTAGTTTGACCCTAAGAGACACAACAACATGCAGTATTGTTAGCTTAAAGCACATCTGGATAACATTACTGTACTGTTATAATCAAAATTATAATAATTTCAAAATAAAATATTAATTATTTGGTTATCTTTGCTACACAAAACGATTCCGTCTTGGCTACAAGTCTTTAATAATACTTTCACTCTTTCACTTTTACTTTCATTATGACACTTTATATGGTTCCAACTGCAATGACGGACAGAAATGCATGGGAAAGGTTTTAACATTATAAACAACGACAGCTGTACCCACTGTTTTACTCAAACACGCACACGCACGCGTCCACTTGTATGTGCACACATTTGAACCTAGTAACAAAACATAGATGGCACACAAAGCCTTGGGGCAAGCCTCTCATGAACTACAGACACAGTGGGCCTGATATAAATAACCCCCGTGTGTTGGAATCGTTGGAATGAGTGTTTTTGTGTCTCGCACAAAGGGGGATGTTGTCCAAAACACTGCATAGGTTCTGCTCATAACCAAAGGCAAAAACTGCTGAGGAAAAAAAAACCGCCTCCGTGATAAGTTCATTGGTCGACCAGCGATGCCTGAATTGTCCACAAAGATCTGATTGGTTCAACAGGGAGACGTTTCTGACGCAGCGTCCCACTCCCCCTCGCTCTCCCCTGTAACGTAAATGGCTCATCTCTGCATCCGTCAAAGAGAGAGTCCTCGGCGGTTAGATTGATTGGATATACCAGCCGTCTGACAAACGGACGTACGTAAAACACAGCGCGGCTGTGGCTTATTGAGTCTGCGCTAACAGAAAAGGAGGAGGTTCCCGAATAGAGTCCTTTATTTATTTCTTTGTTTCCAGTGGGGAAAAATAATAACAGCGACAAATACCACAGGCACTTCATTTATTATCTGGGTCCGAATACTCAAGAAAACTGGATAAGATTACAGTGGTTACTCGAAGGCCAAAGCCAAGGGGAGGAGGATGAAGCGGCGCAATGCGGACTGCAGCAAACTCCGACGGCCGTTAAAACGGAACCGAATCACTGAGGGTATATACGGCAGGTAACTCATATGGAGCCAGGGCAGGCGGAGGGGTCCTCCTCACCACAGTGACGGGGGGCACTGAGTGGGGATGCTTGAAGTCTCATACTGTGGAACGTCTCTAACGTTACCATTGATATCAATGAACTGCAACTGCCAGCTAGCTTATTAACATAGCTAATGGCCAGTGATAGCTTAGTGTATGCTAGCTGTATGTTTTTGTTGTACATTAGCAGGTAACGTTAGCTGTTAGCCTTGGCGCTAGGCCCCAAAACAGCCTGTTTTTAACCATGTCACAACGTCTGTTTCTCTGAAATAAGGTGCCGTGGGTCCTTGAACACTCACTAACAACCCAGACTATCTACCGTTTGCCCAAGTCAGTTGTCATCTGCTAGCTGCATCTAAATGAGCCGTTTCTCTGTTAGCTAAGGTAGTTTTGGAGCTAGCACAACAGCAGCATTGCCAACTTTAACCATGAGTCCCATTTATCTAGTCATATCACAACATATCATTTTAACATTAACTGTAAACACGAATTGATACAAATGTGGTTGGTTTTACTTCTGAAGACCATGTGTTGCACTATTAAGACAACTTAAGGCTGCTTAGTTTTACACCTGGCTATCTAACTATGTGTGACTTCCTATGTGTCTGACAAACTAAACGTTAAAGGCCACTGGTTACACACGTGGCATCTGAACCCAGTGATGAGGGGCGGTTCTTGAATTATTGAGCAGGTGCTCCTACCACAAAATAGGTTTGCTTTGAGATCAGAGAACACTCCTACTGTGTCACTTTCTGGGTCTCAGTGTCCTATTGACAGACAATGTAAACTGTCAAATATTTCTCTTGTAATGTATTTGCATGAATCCTGGCAAGAACCAGCAATAAACTACAACATTATGTGTGTATTTATAATCTCCACAATTTTTGAAAAATTGCTATATATTATACCATGTACAAATGTTAAAAGCACTGACTCAAAAACAGGTCAGAGTGCAGACATATACCTCACCCTGATGGCTTTACAAGTCTGACATTTCTATGCACTAGTTCTGTATAAATGAAGATTTGCATTTGAATATATAAACCGCTAAGAGGAAGTGCAATGCAATCTTGCATTTTATCTGTCAAACGGCAGCAATAGGCTCCAGACATCTTGCATTTGATTCACACACACCCACAAAACACTTACATTAAAGCTGGATCTCCTTTTGAAGCATTGATTTCAGACGACATGCCGTTTAATAATGACTATTGGGGGTAAATACGAGTGCCATTCACTTTTGAATCTTGCAGTGTTTTACAAAACACGTTTCATACAAACTTTTTCATTCTCATGTTTTAGTACCTTCCTGTACCTGAAGTTCCTGGTGGTTTGGGCCCTGGTGCTGCTGGCAGACTTTGTATTGGAGTTCAGGTTCGAGTACCTCTGGCCGTTCTGGCTCTTCATCCGCAGTGTGTACGACTCCTTTAGATACCAGGGGCTGGTGAGTGGCTATTTCTTTATACTTATTAGGATTTCATAAAAGTCAAGAAAGAGCGTAGATCTTTTTTATACCTATTGTTTTTCCCTTTTCACAACTTAACTTTTAGATTTTCACATAAAAATAAACAAGTACAAACCTACTTTAATTATGTGGTTATACTTCATTTTGAATTTTTTCAGCACCATTGCGCTACTGTAACCGCCAGTTTCATGGACACATGCAAACAGTTACTCTATTATCACAGAATTGTTTTTCAAAATGCCTTGACCTAAATATAAGCAACTAAATGTCTTCGCATTGTTTTTTGTTTATAAGATAATGCAGCGGATTTCTTCCAATACTCGTATCTTGTTTCATGTCAACTAAAGAAAAAGCCTAAACATTGATTCACATGCTCAAAGAGGAACATTCAAAAGTATTGGTAGATAGATCTTATCAGGCGCTAAGTTATTATCCAAATCCATCATAGATTGACTTTCCTGTGGGTCCTTTATTGATGCTGGACAGTTTGCTTTTCATTTAGCTTCAATGTGTAGGTGTGTGCTGTTGGTGAATATGTGTCTCACAGGGATGCAAACATGTCATATTCACCTAACGATTTGGGGCATAATTCAACAATGAAATGTGAAGTTTAATCAACCAGAGCAAGATCACTCTAATAAGAATGAAATGTCTTCAACATCTTAAGGGGGGCTGTTAGCCTCGACTCCTATCTTTTACTTTTATAGAGAAGATTTTTTTAGTTTTATGAAAGCTTGTGTTTCATGATAATCATACCAGCCTCTCCTCTCCCCTTCAGGCCTTCTCAGTATTCTTTGTGTGTGTGGCGTTTACCTCGGACATTATTTGCCTCCTCTTCATCCCAGTGCAATGGCTATTCTTCGCTGCCAGTACCTATGTGTGGGTGCAGTATGTTTGGCATACAGGTGAGGCCCTCCAATGTGTATAAGTGTCTTGATATTTGTGAGTTTAAATACTGCATATGAGACCTAGCCCTTGCTCTAACCGTAGTCTCATTTAATCTTTTTTCTACATTAGTTCTGATAACAATGCAAACAAAACAAGGAAGGAAGAAGCTTTCTGTGTATTCAAATGATGGACTACAAAGATAAAGCGTTCTTTAAGGTCACAGACCACACTACTTCTTAGAACTGGCTCTATTTTTTGTTGTTCTTCCACTTAGTGCGTTGTGGGGGAAAAACAGGTGTGAAAAGTGTTGCGCAATCCCCTGCACATTGTGTTATCGTATTTACAAATACTTTCGGTTTATGCTTCTAAGAATTTTGCATGCTGTGTGTAAGCGAGCCGCACTCTGCAGATAAGTTGTCAGTCTGATTTAGCGGTATCCCCTGTGTTGACTGAAGGCCAGGTGTCAGATGGAAATCCTAGTGCTAGCTGGGGGAAGGAGAAACACAAGAGTGGTTCCCAGTTGCTTTTTCAGCACTCTAACTTTACGCACCAGTGACATTCTCTGTTAAAGTATTCATATCTCTTAACACTCCACGGCCCGCTGGGGTAAGTCTTGCGGCTTAGTGCAGCCAAGGAAACAATGGGTAGTGTCTGTAGCCTGACAACTGCATGTGTTTTGTAAATAATAGCCATGTAGAGTGCAGAGAAGACTTTTATGGCGCGTTTCCACTACAGCGCGGAGCACGGTTTAAGAGGGCTGTGACGTCAGCGGCCCGTCTTTGGTTGCGTTTCCACTTGGCCTAGTACCGGCCGGCGGGTCCTAATTCACAGTTTTTCTGGCCTCATAAAATCGTGGGGCCAGGGCCAGAGACAACGAGGCTGAGTCGGGCTGAGTATGCTAAACTAGAGACAATCGCTGGCAAGGGGGCTACAACTACAACAAGAAGGACATATTTGACCGTGATTTAATTGTAATACACGTTTCAAAATGATGCCGAAGTAACAACATACTGATACCGGTTAGTAAAAACCATGAATTAATGCTTTGTCAAGTCTGCAGACAGACGGCAGGCGAAAAACCTTTTAAAATGCGTGTTTTCTAAATGGAGATTGGCTAAGCTAACGCAGTATATACTCCGACCGTCCACACTCACAACAACGGCCTATACAGACATAAATAAAGCAGCGACTGTATTCACCATGACACAGGCAGTCTGTGGTTTGTACTTGTTTAACTTTTGTCCAGTTTCTGAACAGATATGAGGAGCTGTGAGCTCTGAGTGCTAACAGCTAACGGCTGTGTTGTTTTTCTGGGGTTCTCATTGAAGATGACGTCACGGCTCCGCCTACACTACGTTACTATAGATACTACCCCAGTTCCTAAACTGTAATGGAAATGCGCCATAAAGTGAGCCAGTCCTAACGAGGCCTAGCCATACCGAGCGAGGCCGTGCGAGGCCGTGTAGTGGAAACGCGCCATTACAGAATAATGTATGAAAGGTCTATTTTCATCAAGGCTTCACTTACATTTGACACAGATGCTGCTTTAACTGATGACATCGCACTGGAAGATACACTCTTGAACCGCAAACAAAAATATAAAGCATATTTGATCAAAATGGAGGTGTGCTGCAAGAGATCGAGAGCACAGTAGTGTAACAATGGAGTCCATAAAGACTTGCCAATGTCGTTATTCTAAAAAGTTTGTTTCGGACCGTTTTATTGGCTGCAACATCATATAGTAAGCACTAGGGTCAGCTGTGCTATTCATTTTCATCAAAATAAGCTCAGGCATATTATTGTAAGATAGAAATGTGTATACAGCATTAAATAAGGATCCAGGCAGGGACTTGTGAAGGAATAATTAAACAATGATATAGTATTCTGTGCCAACATTGCCATTTTGGTCCTCATTGCTATGGACACGGTGAAGATGGCACATAATGCTGATGTTATAACATGTCTGTCCTGCTTTGTTTTTTTTCCAGAGAGAGGAGTCTGCCTGCCCACAGTGTCTCTATGGATACTCTTTGTGTACATCGAGGCAGCCATCAGATTCAAAGACCTGAAGAACTTCCACGTGGACCTGTGTCGTCCCTTTGCAGCACACTGGTGAGCTGCTGTTCTGTTTAAACTGTGTGAAACTCTGTTCCTGACAGACGGGCTTTTGGCTGAAAGGCATGTCTAGGTTTGGTGCAGACTGTCAGCATGGTAGGGAGGAATTATGTGGACACAGCATTATATCAACTCATCTCAATGTTCACACAGCATTATGAATTGCTCTGCACAACATGAAGTCATTAATGTCACATGCTTAGTTACGTGTTAGGCTTCTTAGCTTCCTTTTTCTTCCCTTAGCTCATTTTCAAGGCTGGATGACCTGAGTGTTAAAGATAAAGATTGAATGCACTTGCATATGCTTTACAGTATAAGTAGGTAGGAAGACTTATACATTTGCACACTTCACAACTGTTGCACCACACTTTCCATTTTAAATCAAAACATTTGATCTCTTATCTTATCTTTTAGGAAGTGTAGAGACATTTGCTGTGCCATGGGCAAACGCCACAAAATCTGTATCTTTGCAAATTGGTATCTGTATCTCTAAGTTCTCCCCCTGCATGTTTATAAAATGTTCACCTCTGAAGTGTAGGATTGTAAAATGTGTAAGGTTACTTGAGGTCTGCAATTTTAAGAACCCCTACAAGCTTTAAGCACGGTTTGACTATGTTGACTTGTGTTATGCTGTGAAGTTTAGCTTCTAACTATATGTGACGGGACTACGGATGGAAACTAGCTCAAAGCTCAAATCCGGCTCATTTACATTTTAAAACATTATTTTGTTTAAAAAGTTCATTAATGTGCACTGTCCCGGTTCAAATAAACAATTAAATTAAATGAAAAAATATCAATAATTCTAAGGTATAAATCATTTAATTGCACTATTGTAGCAGTGGTTCATTGATCAATTCGGTATTTTGCGCTGTTGATCTATGAACCAAGAGTAGACTGATAAGTGCTCTTCTTGTGTCCATCTCTGCAGCATTGGCTACCCAGTGGTCACGCTGGGCTTCGGCTTCAAGAGCTACGTAAGCTATAAGATGCGCCTTCGGAAGCAGAAGGAGGTGCAGAAGGAGAACGAGTTTTACATGCAGCTCCTGCAGCAGGCTCTGCCTCCGGAGCAACAGATGCTCCAGAGGCAAGAGCGAGAAGCAGAAGAAGGTAAAACACACAGACGCATGTACACATGAAGCACCTGGTTCAAATCAGAGACTCACAAGAACAATCTACCAAGAGTTACAATAAAAAATCCTTTATTTTAATAATTAGAGATGTAAAAAATCATCTAGCTTGCTGCCTCACGTCGCTGATGAAACGTCTATGGATTGGGAAGATGAATAATCTGCTGGTCAGTCTTTGAGTGTTGACAAAGATGGCAGGTAGCCACCAGAAAGTCCTACAAAAGATCATTCATTTAGATATGTTTTGCTATGTTGGTGCGGCTGTTGTTCAGAATAGAGCGGCTGTCAATCAATTGGAAGGGACGTGGTTCGATTTCACCTGCAGTGTTGATGCGGGCAAGATACTGATGGCTAGTGGTGGGTGAATGTGTGAGAAAGTTAGTCTCAGCTGAGCAGGTGGCCCCTTGTTTAGTTGCCTCTGCATGAATGTATGTGAATGGGTGAATAGGAACTGACTTAGAAGAACAGTGTCCTGTTCATGTGATTTAATGAATGGTGAAAAAAGTGTGGACCCTTGCAACAGAACTCTTTCAAATCCCAGCCAGGCTTCAATCGAGTTTGTGTTTGTCATGAACCTGTCCTGTCAAACAAGTCAGCATAACTCCCAACATACTTTTGCAGCCCTTCCCTCCCTACCCAAAGTCTGTGGTTGCAGGTTTCCCTGCCTCACATTTTAAACAAACGTACGATGATGCACATTATGATCACAAGTTGATTTGTTTGAGTGTGATTGGGCAACCTTTTGAAAGAAGCTCCGAGGGAAAAACGAATTGAAGGAAATTTCACCAAAGAACCAATTTCACCAAGAAAGTGATCACTTGCAGCAGCGCTGTGTTTTGTTGTGCAGTTGTAGAAAAAGCTGGGCAATTTCACATAAGTAACACTGAAGCAGCACATGAATCCTTCTGTCAATGGTTACAAAAAGTCATATTTCATATAAAGAATTACACATGGGACTCTTTAAGGTCACTCTCAAGGCTGTTTTACTAAATATATTTCCTTTGTATTCCCTTCACTTCCCCCTTCATTCATACAGCAGCAGCAGCAGCAGCAGCTAAAGGAATATCTGAAGTGGACACGCCTCCAGTGTCACAGAATGGCGCTCCAGCCAATAAAAAGACATCGGCACCTCTGCCAGAGTTAGAGTTTAGAGAAAAAGGGAAAGAGGGAAAGGGCGATGCTAAAAAACAGCACAACAGCATCCTGCCATCAGCAGTGGACTCTAAGCTCCAAGAGATGGAGTATATGGAGAACCATATGAACAACAAGAGACTGACCACAGAGCTGGGCAGCACAGAAAACCTGTTGCTTAAAGAGGACAACAATTCATCGTGCTCCTCCTCATCCTCATCCTCCTCCAAAAACTACAAAAATGCTAGCAGCAATGCTGCGACGCTCAACTCCTCCCCCCGCGGACACAGTGCTACCAACGGCAGCGTCCCCTCCGCACCCTCATCCTCCTCTTCCACGGGGAAGAACGAAAAGAAGCACAAGTTAGCAGTGGGGAAGGGGACATCGGGGGGCTCCCACAGGGATCCCACAGACAACTGCATCCCCAACAACCAGCTGAGCAAGCCAGAAGCACTTGTTAGGTAAGAAGCACACGGGTGTATTCATTTAAGGGGCCTTATTATGCTTTTGGGGGTTTTCCCTTTCCTGTATCGTGTGTTTATAGATAGTTTTGTATGTTAATGGTCTGCAAAGGCGAAAATCCCTTCATTCCAGAGGGAGTTTCTCTCCCACACACTCCTGCCTGAAACGCCTCCATTGTAGTCCCTTGTTTATTTCCATAACGTAGTGACATCACTATGTATCACTTCGCCTCTCTTGACCATCACAACAGAGCCGGCCAGTTAACCAGAGTAGACTGGGCTGTGGTTTCAGACAGAGGGTGAAAAGAGGTGCTGCAGCACAGGCCGTATGAGAAATAAAGAGCTTTTTGAACATTAAAGCATGGAGACATGTCACAGTAGAGGCACAAAATACAAATATGAACCCTCTTTAAGACTTATAATATGAAATTAAGTATTTATGCGTTGCTTTTGTTATTGAGACCAATTTCTCTCTCAAACAAAATCCATTTCACCTATAATTATGTGTTGAGGCTAGGGATGTCCTCCTCACATATTGTCCTTAATCATAATACTGATACAATCTCCTTTTTTCATGATTTTGCACAAATCACTCTGCACGCTTAAAGAAACCTTTAACTTTTGTAAAATAATCAAATAACTCTCCATTAATAATTCAAATCAGCTTAATAACATTTTTATTTTACAGCCGACCTTTCATGGTTTCCTTCCATACTGTTCAAGGTCCTTTTTAGCCTCATGGTATTTTGTAAAACATTCAAAACAAGTGTCGGTGTGGATTTGATGTGGCAGAAGCTTTTGTAAAGGATTTTGACAACCTCTCATTTCCAGAGAACAGAGTGCTAAAGTTCAAAGCTTTTCATCTAAAAGCATTCATTTCAAAAGCACAGGATATGTTTTTTAGTTTGCTCTTTATGTCCTCGTCCTCGTGTTTACGGAAAACACCAGTTACATTTTGACAGCTTGTGCACCTGGAGCAAACAAACAGAGCGTCAAAGATTGGTTGTAAGCAGAAACATAAACGTATACAAGTCAGCCCCTATTCTGATTAGCTTGTCAACTGTTTAGTTTTGAAATCACATATTGCAAACAGATGGCCATTAAGAGGGTGTCTTGCTTGTATGATTTAATTGGGCTGAAAATGTAGAAAAATGTAATTTCAGTCTTTATTTCATGCAATCTTTTGCAAACAGAATTGTAAAATGTTGGTCTATTGACAGATAATGTTTTTCAGGTTTGACATTTTTTGGGTGTAACAGTTGAGTTAAGGGTAGATGTTGGCAGATGACAATGTCAAAGAAAATAGGCCTCATGATTCTGTGGATGTGTATGGTATACTTTTTGCAATGGTGTTTTTCTGACAGATTATTCTTGGTGAATGTTTTACATGACAGCAGATGATCAGAAATAAGTGTATACCAATATCTGCAACATACAATTCTAATACATGTCTTAGAATGATCTTCTGGTTATGAATCTATCAGTTCAGAATGAAGGTCATCATCATATATGCTGCACTCTGAAACATAAAGTTAACGTGTTTCTTTTTGTGTAGTCCTACTTTGTATTTGACTGCATGTCAGTGTAGATTCAATATGAACATGCCTTAGGTGCCATAACTATTTAGGTACTGCTTTTCTGAGAGAGTTCTTTGTTACTTGAGAGGGAAGCATATGTTTAATGCATGGTCCGACCATTAGCCCACAATATTAAGACTTCCGATCTATAACATAATGTATATGGATGTACAGTATACATCTATAAATCCAGCATGTCAATGTGTCTCTCCGTCTCTCCTCTGTTCCTTCTCCCACCGGGACAGGTTGGAGCAGGATGTAAAGAAGTTGAAGGCTGACCTGCAGGCCAGCCGGCAGGTGGAGCAGGACCTGCGCAGCCAGATCGGCTCGCTGGGCAGCGCCGAGCGCTCCATACGCACCGAGCTGAGCCAGCTGCGCCAGGAGAACGAGCTGCTGCAGAACAAGTGAGTGGAAAGCTGGGTCACTCTGGAGATCATTTTGTTTAGGATCTTAACTATATAGTGCAATCGGGGTGTTCATTGTCAGGCATCAGTAAAACTACATATTCCTCACATTTGTGCAGATTTTTGAGTTGTATCTCGTAAATAAATGGCGAGATCAGATTAAAAAAAAATACCAAACAATTTCTCAAACAAGTTCTATACATGTGAAACCGTGATGATACCTATAGCACGGGTAAGAAATCCTGTCCTTGCCACCCTGTATTACCTCTTGTTAATGTTCTCTTCGATCCTGTTTGTATCTGTGCTTCTTCTAGGCTCCATAATGCAGTGCAGGCAAAACAAAAGGACAAACAGTCAGTGGGCCAACTGGAGAAGAGGCTCAAAGCAGAGCAGGAGGCTCGAGCCGCCGCAGAGAAACAGCTCGCAGATGAAAAGAAGCGGAAGAAGTTAGAGGAGGCCACAGCAGCCAGAGCATTAGCACTAGCAGCAGCATCCAGGTAGCTGCACCTCTGACATTTCACTGCTGACTTTGCTTTTTCTGAAGTTCTGTTATATTCCTAAATCTACTACTTTTCTCCCTCCATTTTTCAGAGGGGAGTGCACAGACACGCTGAGGCGGCGAATCAATGAATTAGAAACAGAGTGTAAGAAATTATCAATGGACAACAAGCTAAAGGAAGACCAGATAAGAGAGCTTGACTTGAAAGTTCAGGTAAGGAGTTTTTCAGATATTGTTGTTTTTTGAGTCTGCTCGGGTATACATGAATGTTTGGATTCCTGTCATGTGACCTTGGTGCAGGCTTGTGTACATGACTAGTTCTGCTTTGGTCCTGCACACAATTAACTTTTGGAATATGGTGCAGCAAAAATGTAACATGCCCATGTTTATATGATGATGGGGCATAGCTTGAAGCGCTGTCACAGCTATAGTGCACCACAACTCGTCAATACCAGTGTGCAGAAGGCAGGTACACATAGCTTAAAGATAGAAATATGTCATTGTTTACGATGACATAGAAAATATGAATGAATTCTATACCTTACCTGTTTTATTTTACAAACCACCTAATCATTTTAGAGGCATGGTCCAGTACTTAATCAGTGACTTTCACCATTTATAACTTGGTATTCATTATTTAGGTTTCATCCACCTGCCATACATTGCATATACTGTATGTACTGGTTTTAATAGTTATATAGAAATTAAACAATGAAACAGTATAACTGCTGGATTGTGTTTTTCTATTCTTTCTTTTCTTTTTTTTTTACTTGTTAGTTGCTTTCTGCAGCTTGGCAAAACATTTCTTTGCAACATGTACCGTGTTTGTTTGTGTATTTTAAAATACGATTTGACTTGTTATTAAATGGCTTAAACCGTAATAATATTCAACCCTAGTGCTCATAAATGTGGCAGTGCTGTTGAAGTCAAAGCAGCAGACTGCTACAGGTTTTGAAGCTCTGTGTACCTCCTAAGGCTTTATTTGTATACAGTCAACATTATGTTGAGAGAATTGTTTTATTAACAGCAATATTCTGGCACAGGCTTTTGGGATTTTTTGCCTCACTGCAGTGACGCATACTATCCTCAAACAATTTGTACATCCTAGGAGAAGGTCTGTCTGGCTGTTTGTTTTTCACGCTCCTCTAACTTCAACTTTCACATCAGCTACGGATGTTATAAAACAAATAGAATTTGCACCGTGCCATTGCTCTCACCAACGTGCTAAGCATCCAGTCAGAGAGAGTTGACCACACCTGTATCTCTTCTCCTCCATCTTTCAGGAGCTTCATAAATATAAGGAAAATGAAAAAGACACAGAGGTGCTGATGTCGGCGCTGTCAGCTATGCAGGACAAGACGCAGCACCTGGAAAACAGTCTGAGTGCAGAGACCAGGATCAAACTGGACCTGTTCTCTGCGCTGGGAGACGCCAAGAGACAGCTGGAGATCGCACAAGGTCAGTCTGATGTCCACAGAGGCTGGTGTTCTCTGTTGAGGGGGTTTTACTTCTCTGAATACACCTGTGGTAAGGTGAGGGGGTCCAACACTCCTTTCCAAAAGCACACAAGGAGAAGCTGTTTATTATAACTGAAAGAATATTATTTATTTAACAATAAACTCTGAAAACTATGACATCATCGCCAGCTAACATTACCTCTGTATCTCACCGACTAGTTTGAGCGTGACATCATACACTTATTCAGAAAAAAGGTGCCCATTATCAAAACGTAATAATATTAATTCTGGATTACATTGGCTTTTTAGCATTTCTAAATAATATTTATTGCACCATTCAAACTACTATAAGTCAAAGCATATCTGTTAGTTATTCTCAATGTAAAACCAAAGTCTGTAAATTGCCACAACAGGTTTATAATACCTGGCATATTAAAAAGAACAGCAACCTGTTGCTGGAGGTAGTAAGGGGGAATATCTTTATGGCACACTTTAGGTTTGTTTACTATGTCATTCATGTGTTTTTTGCTGTTCATGGATGTATTGGTCTCAAAAAGGTTACGCTATAGTGAAGCGCAACCCAATAGACGAGAAAACTTGTAAAAACTGTAGAAAAAAACGGTCCAGCGTCGGACATTTTTAACACTGGTCGTAATAAATATACAACTGTGAGCACACCTTAAACTATTTTTCAACCCTATTCTTAGAGTTGCCTTCTCTTTGGACTGACTGTGACTTTGACTGTCGTCTGTTTTCAGGTCAGATTCTGCAGAAGGACCAGGAAATAAAAGATCTGAAACAGAAGATAGCCGAAGTGATGGCCGTCATGCCCAGCATCTCCTACTCATCCGACAACAGCAGCATGAGCCCCGTGGCCCCCCATTACTCCTCCAAGTTCATGGACACCAATCCCTCCGGCCTGGACCCCAACGCCTCCGTATACCAGCCACTCAAAAAGTGAACGCTTCGTCCCGCGCCCTCTCCTGCCTCAGTCATCTTTTATTTCTCCTGCAGGCCCACCACCTTCCACTCTGCTCGGCATGTCTGCGCCTGAGAACATTGTTTTTCTCTGGTTTTATTTTGTTCTCCTCGCCAGGTCAAAAGGATGTTGTATCGTGTGACTGTATTTGTTGTAGTTAAAACAAAGACAAAAAACTTTAAAGCGGACATCACATGTCAACATGGAAGTCCCCGTTTTTTTTTTTTCACTCTAAAGTGTCTAGTGAAACCTCACAGAATCGGGTTTGTATTTTCATCTCAAGGAGGGTTTTGCTCTCCCTCTCCCACCACCACTGCAACCTGCTCTTTGGTCCTGGGGGAATAGCTGCTTTATTATTTTAGGTTGATTAGTTCTCCTACTATCATACAGTCATACAGCCTGACTAGTATCTCCATTTCTTTGACAGATTTGTTTTCTTTCTCCCAAGGTAATATGGCAACATCTGTGCAACCAGAGGAATGTAGTGCAAAGTTGGCACAGACTCTCAGCCCTGTTATTTATTTATTTTTAAACCAAAATGAACCCTGCTTTTGGGGGTTTCGGTGGTAAATAGTTTTTCAAGTGTATTGTGTGGTTCTATTCGTTCGCTCTTTTAGATTTCAAGTTTTGATTGCAATACGTTGGAAAACATCTTGTGTTATGAGCAGAAACCATAAAATGCAATGAACCCAAGCAGCAAGTAATGTTCAGCATTAGTGAAAAAAAAAACTGTTTTGTCCCCCCCCTGCCCCCCAGAGTTTTTAAGTTGAAGAAAGTGCAGTCACAGGAGCATGTGTGTATATATAAAAGTGTACCGGCCTCTCTGCACTCTCTTTCATCCGTTTTTATGATCAGTGCCTTGAGTTGAGGACAGTTTGGTGACGAGATGCAGCCCAACACGTTGTGAATTATAAGTAAAGCATCTGGCTCGGATGGAAGAATTTGACCTAGCCTTGTGAAGTGGGAAAAAGTTGCCTTTAGACTATGGTTTAGATTATGGACTTCGTACTAATATCCCCGATTTGTAGGGAAGCTGATCCACCGTGTCCACTCGAGGGCAGCTTCTGTAAGTCTCATTTACCAGATTGAATGGACCACAACAAATTAATTGTACTTCTATTTGCCTATCAGTACGTCCACTGCTTCCAGGTCTCTGGCTCGTCACATTTCCATTCACAGAAGCTCGTCTCCACTGGTGTTAAACCCCCGAATCCTTGGCTTTAGCTGCTGCCCCCCCTATGTTCTTTATTATTTCCAATTTAAAGTTGCACTGTAGAAAATACACACGAAAGGGAAAACTCTAAAGATGGACTGTGCAATGTAAACAAAGCTTTGGAAATGCCAACGTTAATAGAGCAGTTTAAATAATTTTATTTAATGAATCCTCCACTTCAGTTTGTGTGCCAAGACTGGGAATGCTCGTTTCTCTAGTAACGTGTTCAAGAATGTACCGCAAATACATTGGCCGAAGTGTTTGTCAATTATCCAGTTTAAATATCACTTAATGGAAGTTTCTGTTAAGCAGGTAGAGAAAGTGGTCACCTGTTTGTAGTAGACTGTAGTTTAAAAAGTAAGGGACTAGAAAGTCACATTTATTTTTGTGAATGTTACAGTATTTGCAACTGTTGGGGAAGTAGCTGTCTTTAAGAGCAGCTATCCTTACTCCTGTTTCTGGTATTATTGTTATTTTCCTGCAGGGAGAAAAATCGCTTGAGTCTGATGTGGTTTCGCCATCATCTGAAATGGTCATTGTTGTGCGTGTGGTTTTTCACCTTCTGTATAAGGAGACGCTTCTTTTAGCTCAGATCGCTGTCATTGGCTCCTGGAAAAAATGTTTTTGTGAAAAATACAGTTGAGTCAGTTGTTTGGTCAGCTGATTGTTGGAAGTATAGAGAAGTGTTTCGTTTGTTTTTTTGTTTTCTATGCCCACAGTCACTGCTCTGTTTCTCCCCAGGTCTGACCTTGGCTGTGCTCTCGCTCTGTGAGGTTTACAAGGAATAAACTTTTTTTTTCTTGCAAATAGAATTTTCTCTGTTTATTGTTTTTGACTCGATGCATTGAATTTGGATTTTTCACTTTCTAAACCTTAGTCTGAGACTGAAATATCAACCCTTGGTGAGCCTGCTTTACAAAACTTGTGGGGTTTAAAAGAAGTGTGGAAGAAATGTTTCTTGCAAGTCCTTAGATTTTATGGAAATGCACAAAAAATAATTCACTAAAATGCTGTGGCACCCTAGAACCATAATTCCTTTATGGCATCTGGAACTCTCAGCCCATCAATTTGTTTTTGTTGTAATGTTTTATTTGTAGTGATTTAGCTCCAATGAATGACCTAAAGTAAAACAATATCCAAGATGTGGGTTCCTTAATGTGAAATTTGTCGTAAAAAAGGTTAATCCAACTGTTGCTATTTCTGGTATTCTAGATTAGATGCACTACTGCGTTACTGCCACTAGGTGGCAGTGTTTATGTGGGTTAGAAGAGATAATCTCTGCAGACTCTGGTTATTAACCACTAATTCCTTCTTTTCAAGACCAGAACATCTCATTTAACTCTGACAAAAGGAACGTATGAATAAATTGTTCATGCTAACCACTAATCACGGCTGGTCAAAACATAGTGACCAATTGTGCTTCCAAGAGCAATTCGGCAACTTGAGGGTGAATGCTTTTCAAATTCAGACATAATAACCTTCAGGGAGTTTCTCTGCTCTGCTGACCTTTGTCTGGGCTCGAGATTTCAGTCACTGATGGAACCACAAATGGGAGCAAAATATGGGCTGCTACGCATCTTCATTGGACTGATAATTCATTCATCGAATGCATTTGGATTTGAGATAAAGAATCAAAAGACAGTGAAATTCAATGCATGAAATAAACCCTCTACTCGGCATTCTTTCACCTGCCAGGCTTCCCCAAATATGCTAGATTAACCTGTGCAGTGGCACACGTGGGAAAAGCTCCTCCTCATCTCCCCTTATTAACTGGTGCCTTGGTTTGCCATTCCTTTGTTTTACATAACATTCCTCGTATGATTTACCCTCCTTGTTCCAATTTGGCACCACGCTGCTTGGCAGAATCGAGCATGTGGAATTAACAGATTATATCAGGTTTTTGGTCCAGCTGTACTCGCGATGCCATTAGAATTCACTAATCTACACCAAACCCAGCTGTTTGTAGAGAAGAACATGAGAAATGCCATGTATAGCTCGTGTTTCTCTTGACCTACTCAATAAACATTGAGTCCATGAGCAATTTTCTGGCTGGAAATCGACTCTCCGTCCCCTGCTTTTATACCTGACCCTCTGAAAGACAAGGTGCAACAGATTAAAAAATGAATTACATGTTTTTTTTAAGGCATGTGTGAATAGATGTGCGTACTGCGTAGATATACTTGCGTGTGTTTGACCTTGTGTATTTATAAATCATGTGAATTGTGTCTTTCATTCTCACAATCAGATTGAAGAATCATCCCTGCTGAATGCTCACCACCTCTCCTTTATGTGCAGTTGGACCCCTCGTCTCTCCTCTAACAGAAATGTATTGATTTTCCTACCCAGACACACCTAATGAAACTACTACCCCTGTTCCTGCTTTAAAAGTCAATATATGTGTTGCATGCTTCAGTTACTAGCAGATTTACTAACTACTCTTTTGTCTCAAACCTCTCAGTGAAACATGCTCGTAGCCGCCAACAAAGAAACAGTGATTGAAAAGGAATGCACCTGCAGAGTGCAGAGGGGTGGTTGTGTTTACAGTACTGCACTGTAGCTGTGATTATTCTCTCCCTATAGGAAGCATTTTTATTGCAGAAGAAGTCAATACTATGTCACTTCTAAGTGAGCTTCAGATTGAGGATAGTGGTGTTGCCTAATATGTCCTTTGGGGCGTATTAGCCTGTTGCACACATGTACCTGAGCTTGTCACATCCTTGAAATGCGGTACAGCAAGATGTGTTGAATGCCACTCTCCTGAGTGATTCATGTAGTGGAAGGTGATGTAAGCTCAGGGAAACTCAATATAGATATTTGGCTTTGTGTAATTTGAAATGTGTTTTATAAATAGACACAATACAATACAAAGGTGTCAGTGCCAACACCCACATATTTGTTTTTAATTTCTTACTTTAACCTTTTTTTCACTTGACAACATGCTTACAGTTGTCTCAATACAAGAAAACTTTGCCTGCAACATTATAATACAAGTAATTACTATATAAGCCTATAGTAAGTATTAGTATTGATGTTTGACCCAAGCATAAATTGAAAAACTATTTGTGATTGCTAATTTGGTTAGCCCATCTCTCAAACATGTATTGTTTACTTGTGTCCTCTGAAAAGTCTTAGAACTGCATAAAGTGGGACTATAATAATACAATATAATGATCTTGTAGAAACAGATTTGTTGTTAGTTAACTGAATCTTTTCCTTTGGCCATTTGTTTTTACTCATGCAAAAAGAGGTCAATGTGACATGAATGCTTGGCTGGCTAGCAGGGTTTGCTCTTCAGAAATGGGAAATAAGATTTCTTTGTTTACTGTCTAGCTCTCCCTAACTTCCAATTTTTTTCATCAGGAGACCCCTATCCTCCAGATATCCGGCAGGGACTCCTTCGATTTCAATTTTGAACAATGACTCACTGATATCATGGGTATTTTCAAAGAAAGGACCTCTGAGCCTTCCTCCCCTGCAGCTGTTTACTTGATGGGCTTTCAGAGCACAAGGGCATAATATGGGGGCTAGGGTTACACACAGTAGAGGGAACAGGATGCAACGTATCATATACATAATTAGCTACGTATCTGTAACAAAATCACAGGATCTTGCGTGAAATGGACATTGAAAGGACATTTTTGTTGTTGGTTCACTTTGAGACAGAAACACTCATATTAATAACATGAATGCTGAGTTTGCTGTATACACCTGAATAGGTGATCAACTGAATTGAAGTCCCATCTATTTCTGGTCATGACATTACTGACACTGAATAGACGATGAATTTTGAAGCTCAATAAGAAGCCATGTGGCTGGCTGAATTAAACATAAGAGGTCTCACCACAGCCCGTGATGTGAATACAAATCATTTTTACACAAAATACAGTGGCTGGAGTCAAACTGCAGCGAGTATTAACCGTGGTATTAGCAGCAGCAACACACTGCTGCTGCTGAGTGC